CCCTACACGCCTCAACAAAACGGAGTGGCCGAACGCAAGAACCGACATCTTCTCGAAGTTGCTCGTACCATTATGTTCTCCATGAATGTTCCAAAGATTTTTTGGTCCGACGCTGTCACCCTTGCGTGTTTTGTCATCAATCGACTTCCCACGAAAGTCCTTCGTGATGAGTCTCCATTTGAGGTACTACGACAAACCAAAGCTGATATTTCACTATTCCGAGTTTTCGGTTGTGTTTGCTATCCTTTGATTGCAGATGACAGCCGTAATAAACTCGAAGCTAAGAGCATGCGCTGCATCTTCCTGGGCTATCCCTCTGATCAAAAGGGATATAAGTGCTATCATCCACCTACGAACCGATTATATGTCTCTCGAGATGTTGTTTTCGATGAAAACTCCCCTTACTATTCTGTTGACTCTCGCGATTCCATGGTAGAGCTTGCTCCATCTCGACAGGATTATGTTTCCTCCCTTCAATTGTTACTTGATACTATTCATGATCATACTCGTTCCCAACATGTCACTGTTACTAACAGTCCGTTGTCAAGCCCTTCTTCGTCCACTGCAGGTTCTTCATCAACGCCATCTCCTGGAACCCAGCAAGGTTCTGAGCAGATGCCCGCCTCGGTTGCGAGTCAATTGCCTTCTCCCGCTGATGTTGCTGTCTCAGATTCTTCGCTGGAAACAGTTCCTGTTGCCGGAATCGATGTCGCATCTTCGTCAGCTACAGAGCATGACTCTGTTCCGTTGGTAGTGGATGTCGACCCAGCCCCCTTTCTTCGTCGCAGCACTCGCCAGCTCAAACCCACCTGGAAAGTGCAGGAGAATCAGCAACAGAAGACTGCCTTGACTCGTTCTGTGCACGACCTTGATGTTTCACCTAGTTTCTCGGTGAAATATCCTATCCAGCACTATCTGTCTGATTCTGCTCTAACATCCTCTGCTGTATGTGTTCTCAGCTCTATTGATCAGTTTTTGGAGCCCGCTACATATGCCGAAGCGGCACGTCACCAGGTTTGGCGTGATGCAATGGCGGAAGAACTCACAGCACTCTCCAAGAACAACACTTGGACTCTCACACAGCTTCCGCCGGGCAAGAACGTTGTGGGTTGCAAGTGGGTGTACAAGATCAAATACAGAAGCACTGGAGAAATCGAGCGTTACAAGGCCCGTTTGGTAGCTAAGGGATTCACGCAAACCTATGGCGAAGATTACACCGATACCTTCGCCCCGGTTGCTAATCTTAAATCTTTTCGGGTTATTGTCTCGTTAGCTACTAACCTCTCTTGGGACTTATGGCAGATGGATGTCCGTAATGCATTCCTTCAAGGTGATTTGGAGGAAGAGATTTATATGACTCCTCCTCCCGGTTTTCCCGTTGTTTCTGATTCAAATCAGGTTTGTCGGCTCACTAAGGCGATTTATGGTCTTAAACAGTCTCCAAGGGCGTGGTATAAGAAGCTTCACGATGCTCTTGTATCACATGGATTTACTCGATCGGAAGCTGATCATTCTTTATTTTTCTGCCATAATTCTTCTCTTATCACTATTATTCTTGTATACGTTGACGATATTGTGATTACAGGGAGCGATAAACTAGGCATCGAGAGTGCAAAACAGTTTCTTCGAGGTTCTTTCGACATTAAGGACCTCGGCCATCTTACATATTTCCTTGGCATCGAACTTCATCGCACCTCGGACGGCATGTTCCTCTCACAACAAAAATACGTACTCGACTTACTCCGCGACACAGGGAAACTTGGGGCCAAACCTGTGACAACACCACTAGAGGCGGCCTACAAACAACAACGCGAGGGGGAATGTTTCCCGGATGTCACACTTTATCGGCGCGTTGTAGGTAAGTTAATTTATTTAACTATTACAAGGCCTGATATTTGTTTCTCCGTTAACCAGGTTAGCCAGTGGATGCATTCGCCAACCAAGGATCACTGGAACATGGTGAACCGAATTCTCAAGTATCTCAAGGGAACTCCAACTAAAGGCCTATGGATGAAGTGCAACAATGACGTCGGGATCACAGCATACTGCGATGCAGATTGGGCTGGAGACAAGAACGATCGGAAATCAACCACGGGCTACTGCACATTCGTTGGAGGAAACTTAGTGACGTGGAAAAGCAAAAAACAAACGGTGGTCTCAAGATCGAGTGCAGAAGCAGAATATAGAGCAATGGCTAACACTACATGCGAGATTATTTGGTTAAAGCATCTCCTTGATGACCTCGGGATTACTCCTACACTCCCGATACCTCTACACTGCGACAACCAAGCGGCGATGTATATAGCAGCTAACTCAGTGTTTCATGAGAGGACGAAACACATAGAAGTCGATTGTCATCTCATTCGGGAAAAAATCGTTCATGGGATCATCTCCACTGAGTACACCAAAAGCTCGGAACAACTCGCAGACATCTTCACCAAAGCTACGGGCGCATACATTCTGGATAAACTCCTCGGCAAGATTGGCCTCATTGATAATCGAGGTCCAATCTTGAGGGGGAATGTTGGAGTCGACACTATGGAGATACACGAACAGGTCAATGACGATGATCTTGCCTCTGAGTTGGGCAATTCTCATATGAGAATCCGTGATTGAATGGCTGAGAATATGCTAATATATTCTCAGTTCCCACAATAAGGAAAACTTCCAATCTGTACAAATCTGTTTCCTTATCCTATTATGTTTCTCTTAGTATATGTACGAGTCATTGTAAACACCAACATTTATCAGAGAATAAGAGTATTCTTTTCTTCCTTCTGGTTGCTCATCAAACCTAGCTTTTCCTCTTATTCAATTGTGCAGCCTAAGGTTCCGAGGGTCTTTCACAGACGCTACCGTTTGGAGCGTCGTCAACACCACTGCGGATTACGCCGACGGCCTCGCGTCTTATTACGAAGGAGTTTTCATGACGCAGGGGAAGTCAATGAGCGTCTGCATTGCCGCTAATTCTTATACCACTTCTGACCCCTTTATCTCTGCCTTGGAGATCGTCAGATTGGAAGGTTCTCTTTACAATTCCACCGATTTCAACCGTTTCGGGCTGCGTCTCGTCGCCAGGCACGCATTCGGATACAGTGGATCGCTCATCCGGTGAGTTTTCTCTGTTTCTGTTGTTATCAATCAATGCCTTACAAGTTTCTGCATAGGGTTTTAGCAGATTCCCAGATACAGCGACACATTTGGAATGTCAGATCTCCGAGAATGAAATGGATTTGGATTTTGTAGATCAAAGGGCACTGATTAAATCGAGAAACTTGATGTTTTCAGGTATCCATATGATCAGTTTGACAGATTTTGGGAGCCTTACGCGTTCAATTCCACGATACCGAACAATAGGAGAGTAGAGGCTTCTGGTTTCTGGAACCTTCCGCCATGGAGGATATACAACACTGGTTTTAAAGCTTCGCAGCTTCAGCCTCTAAAGTTCATATGGCCTCCAGCAGCTTTACCAAAGTCGAATTACTATATAGCGCTATACTTTGCTCATGATTCTGACTCATTGGCCGGTGGATCCATTGTCCTTGACATAACCCTTAATGGTGTAACCTATTATAGGAGTTTGAATGTAACTCCAGCAGGTGTGGTTGTCTTCTCGAGCCGATGGCCTCTTGACGGTACTGCAATGTTAACCCTAAACCCTAGCACTGATTCAGACCTTGGTCCCCTCATCAATGGTGGTGAGATGTTTGAGTTGATTCCCCTCGAAGGCAGAACCCACGTACGAGATGGTAGGACAGACAGCGAAAGGCATTGGCTTTTGTTTGTGTCTACTACATGATGGTGAATCATCTTTCTCTTGTTTTCTGCAGCAACTGCTCTGAATGCAATCAAAAAAAGTCTTCAGAACCCGCCGGTTGATTGGAATGGCGATCCTTGTCTTCCTCAGCGGTATTCGTGGACTGGAGTCAGCTGTTCTGAAGGCCCCCGTATTCGCATAATCAGTCTGTGAGATGAATCTGATTCAAACCCGCATATTTCCGTGCTCTAGACTAACACCAATCCGTTCTATCAACTCGCCATTTGTGTTTTACTGAACCATTTTTGCCGGCAGGAACTTGACTAATATGGGCCTTTCGGGTTCACTGGCTCCTGAAATCGCCAACTTAACTGCATTGTCTACGGTGTAAGTGCCCAAAACCAGTGGACGTATCGGTTCTAGGCTACATCGAATATCAATTCACGGTCTTGTATTATGAACAGTTGGCTGGGGGGCAACTCTCTGTCAGGACCCATACCTGACCTCAGTTCACTCAAATTGCTCGAGTCATTGTGAGTTGAACGCTTTCAATAACGTTGTCGTTGCTTTGATTTGATCGTCCCAAATAACCGGTAAGCCATTGATTCAACAGGTAGTCCTAAACCCTAACCCTATCATGTTTCATATCCAACAGGCGCTTGGAAAACAATCGGTTCAGCGGAAGCATCCCTCCATCCCTCGGAGAAATGCAGAGCTTGCGAGAACTGTGAGTTTTCGTTCTTGTGTTTTACAATATGCAGGCCTTTCCGCCGCATAGTTGCAGAAACTTGATCCTATCTAAGCTTTCTGTTTTTATCAGGTTCTTGCAAAACAATAACCTGACGGGCCAAATCCCGGGAAATCTTCGGAAACCAGGACTGGAGCTTAATTAGGTAAGTTCGCTTGCCGTATCTCCAACTTTGGTCCCTCTCCGACCATCTAATACTACAGATATCTCTAAACTGCCGTCGTGCTCCAGGACTTTTGGTAACCCGTTGTTGGCTCCGCCTCCCAGCTGAGAGGCCCGGTTCAACGCATTCCAACTCGAGAGACTGATTTGTATCATATTCTTTAAATGCATGTGTTATTTGTAACATTTTTTTTTTATTTTTTTGTGATTAGATGCCCTATGAGCCTTGACAGTGACACGCTGCTTATAATATCTTGTAAAAAAAAATTGCATTTAAACTCACTTTTTTCCTTTGTAAATAATCTCAGAATAACAGTTGGTATTCGATCTAAAATGGACCGACAGCCAATTAATACGACGTTTTTATATTTATTATCGAGTATTCCCTTATTGGAAATACAAAATTAAATTTAATTAAATTCAAAAGAAATCGAACAGAACCGAACGAAGGAAAGAGGTCATTTACGTGTAGGCACGTTGAGCTGCAGGTTTCCCCCCTATTACCGTTTGGACCACTCTGTTTTGGTTATGTTGGCAGTTAATTAACTAATTAGAGACTGGATAATTAGTCAATTACACATTTCTTTCAATAAAGGATGTATATATATATATATAGATATGGCGATATGCCACGTGTTGTGTAGATTATTAAATGGAAATGGAGTACATGGATATTCTTACCAAACACATGCTTTGCCATGTCAGTGTTCATCATCATCATCATCATCGGCTGTTCATTCATGCAACCTAAGAAATATAAGACGCATGAAGTAATATCATCCAGTCTGCAATCAATTCTTCCATGGAAGGCATACTACTTCCTCCTCCGCCGCCGCCGCTGCTGCTGACGCAGGATTCCTCCACCGGCAAACTTATCCGGCGAAGGACGCCGACCAAGCCGCCGGCGATGGAGACGGTCTCTCTACTCTTGCGAGATTGCCCTGTTGTTGCTGCTGTTGTAACATAAAAATCGTTTAATCCTCTGTTAATTTAATCTTTGTTTCTGTCCTAATCTGATCTACTGACTAATTAAGCTTCTCTCTCTCTATATATATATATATATGTGTAGAGAGAGAGAGAGAGAGACGATGAACAAGAGAGTTAATAATCTTGAGGCTAATTAACAATTAAAAAACTTACCAAGAAGTCGTATAAATAAGGAAACCGCATTGATTATTAAAGGCAATAATAAATTAATATTAATATATATTTTTTTTGCGGGAAAGTCATATTAATTTACTCACCATTCAAACTCCGAGTCTCCCTCCCTCCTTGCCTGTTTTGTGAAACACTTGACCATATTTAGACATTGTGCATAACATCAAGATCCAAATCTTGTATAAATTTGTGACCATCGTCTCTTAAACAAGCCAAAAGACTCTCTCTCTCTCTCTGTTGCTTCACTCTGTTTTCGTGCGCTGTCTGAAAGGTGCGAGTTAATAAAAATGCCCGCGGTTGTCGTGAGCGGCGGAGGCAAAGCTCCGGAGTTCGAGGCCAAGATGACGGCCTACGTCTTCCTCTGCGTCATCATTTCCGCCGTCGGTGGATTGATCTTCGGTTATGACATCGGAATCTCTGGTTCGTATCTTCGTATCCGTTTTTCTTGCCTTTCGGATCAACACACTCGTAGATCTGTGAGCCTTTTTCTGTAACTGATCAACTCTCCGAAAGAGGGTATCGACCCTTATGGATTTCGTTACGAGATTCGATAATGGCGGTGATGATGACGGAGATTTGGATTGCGCAGGAGGAGTGACGGCCATGGACGATTTCTTGAAGAAGTTCTTCCACGAGGTGTACGAGAGGAAACAACACGCGCATGAGAACAACTACTGCAAATACGACAACCAGTTCCTGCAGTTGTTCACTTCATCTCTCTACCTCGCCGCCCTCGTCGCCAGTTTCCTCGCCTCCATTGTCTGTTCCAAGCTCGGACGCCGACCCACCATGCAATTCGCCTCCTTCTTCTTCTTGCTCGGCGTCGCCCTCACGACCGCCGCCAACAACATCGTCATCCTCATCTTCGGCCGGATCTTTCTCGGCTTCGGTGTCGGTTTCGGCAATCAGGTGAAAAAGGGTTCGTCCAGATTCGCACACGTGTTTCGATACTCATATAACGTTTATCGGGTTTTCGAAAATATCTGCAGGCGGTTCCTCTGTTCCTATCGGAAATCGCTCCAGCCAAACTCAGAGGAGGCCTGAACATATGCTTCCAGCTCATGGTCACGATCGGAATCCTCATCGCCAACTTAGTGAACTACTTCACGTCAAACGTCCACCCGAACGGATGGCGGATCGCGCTCGGGGGCGCGGCCGTGCCGTCGGTCATCCTAGGTGTCGGCTCGCTCGTGATCTGCGAGACGCCGACCAGTCTGATCGAGAGAAACAGAGTGGAAGAAGGGAAAGCCACGCTAAGGAAGATCAGAGGAGTGGAAGACGTTGAAGAAGAGTTTGAATCGATCGTCAGAGCCTGTGAGCTGGCCAGACAGGTCAAGGACCCTTACAGGAAGCTGATGAAGCCAGCGAGCCGACCTCCATTCGTCATTGGAATGCTGCTTCAGCTGTTTCAGCAGTTCACAGGGATCAACGCCATCATGTTCTACGCTCCTGTTCTGTTTCAGACCGTTGGGTTTGGGAACGACGCCGCGCTGCTCTCGGCGGTCATCACCGGCTCGATCAACGTTCTTTCCACTTTCGTCGGGATCTATCTGGTGGACAAAACCGGTCGGAGGATTCTGTTGCTTGAATCCGCTGTTCACATGTTCATCTGCCAGGTCCATTTCTGTTCTCCTCCTCCATTTCTCTTCTGTGAAACCATCGATTCTCGTCAGAAAATACACGAAAAATCGTTTCTTTTTAATGGGTTTTTGATCCAGAAACTAACCACTCTTATTACCCACCAAATCCGAGATTTCATGATCAAGTATTCTTCGGACAAAATACAATGAAACCCTCTTGTCTGAACCTGTATCTGCGTGTGTTGCAGACAATCATCGGAATCATTCTGGCGAAGAATCTGGAAATCACGGGATCGTTAGGGCGCGTGGAAGCGCTGGTGGTGGTGATATGCGTATTGCTGTTCGTTATGGGATTCGCCTGGTCATGGGGTCCACTCGGGTGGCTCATACCGAGCGAGACCTTCCCACTGGAGACAAGAACTGCAGGGTTCGCCTTCGCTGTCTCCTGCAACATGTTCTTCACTTTCCTAATAGCTCAAGCCTTCCTGTCCATGCTATGCAACATGAGATCCGGCATCTTCTTCTTCTTCAGCAGCTGGATCCTCGTCATGGGACTTTTCGCCATGTTTTTCGTCCCGGAGACCAAAGGTGTCCCCATCGACATGATGAGGGATCGTGTCTGGAAACCTCACTGGTTCTGGAAAAGGTTCATGCTCCCTGAAGACGATCTCCACCGCGACGTCGACGTCGAGAAGATCTACGACTGAAAAATCTTGCTGTCTTTCTGCCGTTACGCTTCTTCGCTTTTTTTTTTTTTGGGTATAAGTTTAAAGTTGTGTCTGTAATGGAACTCCATGGTTGTTCCCAAGACAAACTACCGTTTCAGTTTTAGTTCAAAAGCTAGTAAGAAAGTTAAGACCAAATTGGATCTCTGTCTTACATTTTTCAGAACACAAAAAAAAAAAAAAAAAAAAAACATTAGAACTCATGTCTTTACTTGTAGAGCATACGGTTGTAATCAAGAAAAGAAGAAACAGAGGAAGTAGTTAGTGTAAAAAAAAAAAACATTACCGATCTACATAAGAGCCCCTTACATTGTGCCCTAAAACCCGGCAAGAGGCGGCAGCCATGGCAGCTCGCTATAACAGTCCAGCAAATTCCAAGTACATCACATCAATTTTTAAAAAAAAAAAAAAAAAAAAAAAAAAAAAAACATTAGAACTCATGTCTTTACTTGTAGAGCATACGGTTGTAATCAAGAAAAGAAGAAACAGAGGAAGTAGTTAGTGTAAAAAAAAAAAACATTACCGATCTACATAAGAGCCCCTTACATTGTGCCCTAAAACCCGGCAAGAGGCGGCAGCCATGGCAGCTCGCTATAACAGTCCAGCAAATTCCAAGTACATCACATCAGCAACTATACCAGTAGATGGATACCCAATTCGTCCTTTTTTATAAAGTTTCCGACTTTGGTCAATGCAAAATTTGATGACATTGTGGGCCCCAGTTACACAAAAAAAAAAACATGTTTTGTTTTGTTTGGGGCTTAGTCGGGAAGTATTTGCTCGCCGTCAGCGTCTGCCTCGGTTTCGACAGTAGGCTTAGAGGGAGGAGCTTGTCCGGGAGATTGCTTCTTCTTGATCCCACTCACTATATCGTCTATCCTCAGGAGCATGCACGCCGCTTCTATCGCCGTCTTGAACGTTTGCGCCTTCACATTGTACGCGTCCCATATCTGCCCTCGTGATAAACAACAACCACCATTATCACTAATCACCCTATGATCGTGAGAAAGCTCCATCATTTTCGAAGTTTCGACCTTACCTTGCTTTCTTTCATGTCGACGATGGCGCCAGAGTTCCCATCAATGCCAACCCACGCATTTTCACCATTAGCATGCTGTACCATTCCCCGAAAGAAGAGATTTTTTTTTTCTTTCTTTATCAGCCAGTGTGTTATGCATAGAGAAATAGAAAAGAGGATAACTTCTTAGAAGACGTTACCTTTCCTTGTAAGGCAGTCATAGTTCGTATTACGTTAACCCCGCAATTCTGAGCCAATGTTCGAGGAATAGCCTCGAATGCTATAGCAGCTGCTTCATATGGCCACTGGTTCCAAACAACAATCAAGTAAAATCATCATCTCTTAGGCACCCGATTCAGCTTTCAAGGGTATAGGCAAGGAAGAAATCTAACCAACCTTCTCTATGCCTTCAATCGTCGAACTCTTCTGTTTCAAAGTGGCAGAAACTGTTAGTTCTGTGGCTCCACCGCCAGGAACAAGCTTCGGGTTCTTGATAATGTTTCTTGCAACAGACATGGCATCCTGCAGTCAGAATATAATGTATTAGCTACGATGACAACAGCTCCCTGATATCTAAGTTTTAAGGAAAAACCATTCATGCACCTGTAGATTTCTTTCCACTTCGTTGAGCAGATCTTTACTCGGTCCCCTTAGGAGTACTGTACATGCTTTCGGTTCTATGCAATCAACGATAAAGGCGAAAAACTTGTCCCCTATTTTCCTGACCTCGAACAAGCCAGCCCCAGTACCGACATCAGACTCCTGCAGTTCATCGGGTCTGTTCACAATCACTGCCCCACATGCCTTAGCGATCCTGTTGTTATCTGTCTTCCTCAACCTCCGTAGTGCACTAACCCCGGCTTTACTGAAATAATGACATGCCAAGTCGCTAAGTCCCTTCTCTGTAATCACTAAATCAGGTTTGAACTTCAATATTTGCATGCAAATGTTCTCGATGTATTCCTCTTCCATCTTCAACAGCACCTCCCAATCCTCCTCTCTAACCAACTCGGCATTGGTTTGGTTTTCACCTTTCTTGTACTCGAGGGGACAATCAAGAAGAACAATACGTGGATTGACAATCTTTCTTTTCATTTTACCAGGAGCAACCACATCTTTGTTAATCATCACTCCTCTCAGAACCTTAGAGTCCTCCAGCTGACCACCAGGGACCTTCTCAACTTTAATGTACTTTTTTATATCCACCTCCCTCAATCCTTGCCCAAGATCAACACCGACAGTGGTTGTGGCATCAATAGCCAAATCCTAGAACCAGGTAATCATGCAAACTAATATGAGTACAGTAAGCCATATTATAACTCATCCTACAAAAGAGAGCATCGCTAGAAAAGGAAAGGAGGGCAAAGTTCTGTACAGAAATTGATAACTTGTTATTGTATTAATCTTGCATATGTTCTACATATTTATATAAATGGATACACCATATATGGTAAAATCACAACAGATAATACAAGCTTAAAAAAATGCCACAGTAATTGAAATACTCACAGCAATTAGATCTCCGAATTGGCTGGTGAACTTTGTCCCTATGCAGCTCTTGACTAGTCCCAGCATCGTTGCTCCTGCAATCATAAAAAATTTCATCAGTATCACCATAAAAGAAAAAGCCAAAGACCGGCATGAACAAGTAGCTGCACCAAGCTAGTTTCAGACTTACGGTCATTAACATCAATTGACATTGCAATTTTGTCAAGAACAGCAATAGCATCCTCAAGAGCCTTATTGTAAGCTGCAGCAAAGAACATTATTTAGACTAAAAACAACATAATTTCTAGTAAAAATGATGAGCAATCCATGGCGGAAGCATACCTCGGCATAACATATGATTGTTGGATGGTAACTCTTCTCGATAAAAGCTTGAGCAACATGTAACATTTCACCGGCTATTGGGGAAGAAAAATTACCATGAGTACAAAAAACAGGAAACATGATGCATTCAGAACTAATGCATGTCAAACAGATTGTTCTTCGGCGCTAGGTGTTTATGTGCCGAATTACACGCTCAGACCACATAGCAGCAGACATGCAATATTAAGAAGTTCTAAAATTGTTTCATGTATAATGATGCCTGAGAAGGGAATATTGTAATTCCCCATGCAAAACAGCCACCCAATAGAGTTGTTCTCACTACAGCTATGATTAGTGAAACATTGATCCAAACTAAGCAATTGGTAATCAAACGTGTTTTGCAAAGATTAAGAGGGAGGGTCCATACCCAGCACGATAACAGATGTTGTCCCATCGCCAACTTCTTCATCTTGTGTGCGGCTCAACTCAATCATTGACTGCAATCGCAGCCATGATAAATAGATTGTTAAAATAAGAATCAAAAACAGCTTGAATGAGGGGCAGAGAGGGCAAAAATACTACCTTAGCTGCAGGATGAGCAAGATCTAGTTCACGCAGAATGGCATTTCCATCGTTGGTAACAACAATACCTGTGAAGATACATAACGCAAACGTTTTAGCAGATACAACCAGACATAAGTTTTGAGGCTGAGAACCGCAAGACAAGCAGAACCCTCATAGGCTCATACACTAAGAGGTATGTGGAGCTAAGCTAACTCAGAATCTGATTCACTGAAACAGAGAGACTCTGAAAAGATGGAGCATAATCACAGCAACGATATTCCAGAATGTATAAACCCTAATGACGTCTCTTATGAGATCGAAAGCCTCCCACACAAAGACGGAAAACACTAATAAGGCAAGGGAGCGTCGGAAGAAAAACCCTACCTCCTCCAGCATCAAGAAGCATCTTCAGCATCGAACGAGGACCCAGTGTGGTACGGATGATATCCGCCACGGCCTGAGAGAATGGAGCCCATCACACTCCATTGAAGCCATGATCGAAACAGAGAAACGAAAGGAGCAGAAGAATCAGAACCGAACATTACCTTCGAAGCCTGAATATTAGCATAATGAACCTTGGTTCCAGATTCACGCTTCAACGAATCCTCTGAGACATTACACGAATGGCCAAGTCACATACTAGAAACTAAACTACACAATCCCCGAAATAGATCGAAGACACGAGATCTAGAGAAGGAAAAACACTCACTGAGGACAAGAACTGGGGCGTGCATGCCTGCGACCTAAGCGAAGACAGAGATTCCAAGCAAAACTGAGACGGAGACAGCAAATCCGAAGAGCAGCAAGCAATTTCAGTGCAAATGGAAAAACCTCGAATCTTCTCTTTGGTCTCTCCCCCTTCGGTTTTCTGTTCTCAAGCCCCAAGCACTTTTTCTTCTTTATAAAAAAAAGAATTTTTTCTTTTTATAAATAGTGAAGATATTTGTTTTCCAAAATGCTATTTTTATTTGCTGGAGACTGCAGTGCGAGAAAAATCTGTTATCGTTGAGCCCACTGCAATGGATGGCGTCGGCAGCCATTGCTGCAGTTCTCGATGCACCTTCTTCTTCAGAAGTTCTTCACTTCCGAGGCTAGGTTTATTCAGTCGCAGGGTTCGTTTTGATCGATCGGGGAGATTCAACTATCCTTCTTGTCGCATCACTTGTACTGTCTCTGCTTCCGCTTCTTCCACCATGTACGTTTCCTTTCCTTTTCTTCATTTTCTTTTTCTGCTTTGATCAAATCCTTCCTTCATTTCCATTCTGGCAAACCAAATTTGATCTGGGGCAGAGAGGAACAGCGGAAGAGTAAGGGTGATGATAAATCGGGTAAGACGGTGAAATTGAATTTGAGATTGGATCACCAAGTTGAGTTCGGAGAGCATGTCTCCATTTTCGGTTCAAGCGAAGAGATAGGATCATGGAAGAAGAAAGTGCCTCTCGCTTGGACAGAGAATGGATGGGTTTGTGAGCTGGAGCTGTCTGGAGGGCAGGTTTTGGAGTATAAGTTCGTGATTGTCCGAAAAGATGGATCTCTCGCGTGGGAATCCGGCGACAACCGTGTTCTTCAGCTTCCAAATTCCGGTAGTTTTTCTGTTTCTTGTCGCTGGGATGCCACCAGAGAGCCCCTTGATTTACCCCAGGAGGCTGCGGCGGATGATGATGATGATGATGATAATGAGCAAGATGGGCATGACGAAGTTGATTATACTGTGAACAATGATGGAGTACAGCAGCTTGAGAAAAGCTCATTGGCAGGACAATGGCAAGGCAAGGACGTGTCTTTCATGCGATCCAATGAGCATCGCAACAGGGAAGTCGATCGAATTTGGGACACCACTGGTCTTGAAGGGTCGGCTCTCAAATTAGTGGAAGGTGATCGAAATGCTAGAAACTGGTGGCGAAAGGTTCGTCTAACCCTTGATATTTATGTCTCTGAATTGGGTTGCCATATTAGCTACAAGAAGTCAATGATAGATATCTCCTTAGCTCTTTGTTTCCTCCTCTTTCATTGGATTTGAAAGTGACAAAGAGTTAGATGTTTCCCATTGTTTAATGTGTTCTTGTGCTAAAGCTTGAAGTAGTACGTGAACTTATTGTTGGGAGTATCGAGAGGAAGGAACGGTTGGAAGCGCTCATATACTCTGCCATTTATTTAAAGGTTTCTCTTTTCTTCATCACAACTCGTTTTTTTCCTTCTGGTAATTTTCTTGTTTGTTTATCTTCTATTTCTCTTTTGCCTCCTATGCAGTGGATAAATACGGGTCAGATTCCTTGCTTTGAGGATGGAAGCCATTATCGTCCAAATCGGCATGCTGAGATTTCCAGGCTTATATTCCGTGAATTAGAGCACATTTGCTGCACGAAAGATGCTTCAGCCGAGGTTTCATATTATGAAATCAACCCTTGATTCTTTTCAAAACTTTCCTTCTGACACCCTCCTCTTCCAATACCGCTTTCGATTTTTTTTCCTTAGCTTCTCTAAGCAAGATATGCGTTGTTTTATAGGAAGTACTTGTGGCTCGGAAAATTCATCCATGTTTGCCGTCTTTTAAGGCAGAATTCACTGTATCTGTTCCTCTAACACGAATTAGGGACATTGCCCATCGCGGTGATATTCCTCATGATCTCAAGGTGATAGTCTCTCTAGCTTTTGGGTTACTAGATCAGTTAACTTTATGGTACCTCATCTGTAACATATTCGTTCCAGCAAGAAATCAAGCATACCATACAAAACAAGCTTCACCGAAATGCTGGCCCAGAAGATCTAATTGCGACAGAAGCGATGCTAGAAAGAATTACCAAGAACCCTGGAGAATACAGTGCGGACTTTGTGGAGCAGTTCAGAATATTCCATAATGAGCTTAAGGATTTCTTCAATGCTGGAAGGTATGTGCCATTAGTTTGTTCTATGTGACTGTCCCATGTATTAAATATTTCCATATGTATCCTGTTGCAGCCTCACTGAGCAACTTGATTCCGTTCGAGCATCTATGGATGAGAGAGGTCTTTCTGCTCTTAATTTGTTTTCAGAATGCAAAATGGTAGGCTCTTCCATTTGTTCATATATATTCATCTCGTAATTCTTTCCTGAGTGGTGTTTGATATTAGCTGAAAAAAGAACAAAATATTTCACCATGTTAGCGGCAGTAAGCCTTTATATAATTGGCTTTGCTGGCATGATCTCCAGTATAACATCTGGGTACAATTATTAGCCAGTATTAATATGACATGCAAAACCAATATCAGATTAGTTTGGATGCACTCAGGATTTTGGGAGATAAGATCAAGACAGAAAAATCAACCTGTAATCTTTTATTAATTCAATGCATTTATGCAGAGTTCTGTAATCATAAAGTTCCTTAATCTGGTTGATAATAAAATACGTATTTCCAGCGCCTTGATTCGTTGGGAGACTCGGCTGATGTTCTGGAGTTGATCAAAATAATGCAATCCCTGAATTCTCTGAGAGAAGCAATTGTGAAGGGACTTGAAAGTGGCTTACGAAATGATGCTTCGGATGCTGCCATTGCAATGCGACAGAAGGTGAGGTCATTTGGGAATTATTCTGTACATTATGCAAGAAGTTAATTAATTTTGGTGGTTCACTTTTTAGTGGCGCCTCTGTGAGATTGGCCTGGAGGACTACTTTTTTGTTCTCCTAAGCAGGTGGGCATGAATTTTAATAGCTTTCTGGAACCATTTTTTCCTCAGGCTTGTTGTTTTGGTCTCCTGCTTGATATCATGGATCTGATCCTAGCTCGTTTCTGTTGACATTGATTTGATTAGATTCCTCAATGCTCTTGAAATAATGGGAGGGTCTCGTCGAGTTGCAGAAGATGTGGAATCAAAAAATGTTAGCTCCTGGAATGACCCACTTGATGCTCTGATTTTGGGCATTCGTCAAGTAGGTTTATCTGGTTGGAAGCAAGAGGAATGTGTAGCTATCGGGAATGAGCTCGTAGCCTGGAAAGAGAGAGGTCTACTTGAGAACGAAGGTTGTTTCCTCCTTTTGATTATGCCATGTATGGAATTCTTTAGTCCAAATCAAGATGTGTAAGGTTCACTTGTAGAAAGGGTCGTGTGAGCTTCTGTTAAATGCTGAAAAGCTCCTCTTTTTCTTTTTTCCGCGAAGGAGGAGAGGATGGAAAAACCATTTGGGCATTGAGGCTGAAAGCTACACTTGATAGAGCACGTAGGTTAACTGCGGAATATTCTGATGCACTTCTTCAAATATTTCCTCCTAGTGTGAAGGTATGCAAAATCTCGTGCCTGTCGTTCAGAAGTCTTATTTACAGAATGAAAACATTTTTGCCAGCCAATATAGCCACGACTATCTATTGTCACTTCTATCGATCTGCTAAGTGTCAATGTGATCTAATATTGCAAATGCAATATACTAATGACTTCAGATTCTAGGAAGAGCTTTTGGGATTCCAGAGAATAGTGTCATGACCTATACAGAAGCTGAAATTCGCGCTGGGTCAGTTAACCCTTTTCTGCTTAGCCTCTGCAGCTCAAGAAATCTTGTGTGAAATTTTGAGAATGTTCAACACTTTTGTACCGGTCATGACATTTGTGTATTCTTTCCCAACATCTGTTCTCTTGCTGTAATTTCCTTGAACTTACCTGTGGTTCTGCCTTGCAGTGTAATTTTTCAGGTCTCAAAGCTCTGTACTTTTCTTCTGAAAGCTGTTAGAAATTCACTTGGTTCTGATGGCTGGGACATCATTGTTTCAGGAGCTACTTCCGGAACTTTAGTTCAGGTACATGGAGAAGGCAAATGTTTTGTCATTTCAAGAGGTTTCATTGCTCCAAAACCCAATGGCCGATCATAACGTACATATTTCAACACTATAAGAAATTTTCGTGAACCGGTCCAATAATTATCATAGTCGACAAATCTGATGGAGACCTTTGACATTACAGTCGAAAATTTAGACTAGATATCAAAAAGGAAAAGCTAGTATGTCTTTCAGCTTACATGTAGCTGCACTGCTCGGTTAGCTTTCTTATTTCTGCGAAATTTTAGATTGAATTAGTTATATCTCCAGCTTCGTGCTTTTGATGTGAACGCCCATTTGCTGATATTACTCTTTGAATCTATCTATTACAGGTTGAAAGCATCGTACCCGGGTCATTGCCATCAACTCCAAAAGGTCCTATCATTCTCATGGTCAACAAAGCTGATGGAGATGAAGAGGTTTATGAACTCTATAAACTATCTGCTCTCTTCAACATTCATGAAATCGGCATAATGACATCCACGTTCATGGCAGGTAAGCATTGCCGGGAGCAACATAACAGGAGTTATCCTTCTGCAGGAATTGCCTCATTTGTCTCACCTCGGTGTTAGAGCACGTCAGGTACGAGCTGTTCATTTTGTTATTTTCATCATTTTATAAAAGCAGGGCACTCTTTAAGCTCTTCATTTTGCATTTATTTTCTGCAGGAAAAGGTTGTCTTTGTGACATGTGACGATGATGACAAGGTTGCGGATATACAAAGGCTTGTGGGAAAGTTTTTGAGGTTTATCTTTTCTAACATATCCTCGTATTGAATTAATTCGTCCTTTCTTCGGTATTTTACTGTCTAATCTGATGCTTACAGGTTGGAAGCTTCCCCAAGCCATGTGAATCTGATACTTTCATCTGAAGATAGCAGTATCCACTTGAATGAGGAGAAGGATAAGAATGGTGACAGTTCACATACTGCAGATGAAAGGTCACGCCCTGTTTCCTCGTCCGCAGCGACTATGTTTTCCTCAGACAAGGTATATATACCTTTTACTTCTTCGCTATTCACATTCAGGGTTCTTCGTATTCGGATCCTAACGCTAAAAGTTTTCATGGATAGGACCTCTCCGGTGGAGGAATTATAACACTCACAGATGCAGATCTCTCAACCTCTGGCGCGAAAGCCACTGCCTGTGGCCATCTTGCAACTTTAGCTAGAGCTTCTGCTAAAGGTAATTTCCTGGATTTCCCGGTTTATGAAAATGCAGATCGAGAAACCCCAGAGATCGAATTATAGCAGCTAAGGGAATGGAGTGACCGGAGAAGAAACCTAACTCGAATCTACTTTTACAAGTTTGTTTAAGTTTACTCTAATTTCTTATGGATGCTTTGAAACGGCAGTGTATAGTGAAGAAGGCGTGCCAGCATCGTTTCTAGTCCCAGCTGGAATCGTCATACCTTTTGGCTCGATGGAATTGGCTATAAAGCAAAGCAATTCAGTGGAGAAGTTCGAATCGTTACTCGAGGGGTTAGAAACTGCTAGACTGGAAGATGGTGAACTTGATGATGTATGCAATCAAATTCGTGAAGTGGTCGCATCGTTGCAAGTGCCGAAAGAGATGATGAACGGTGTGGGAAAAGCTTTTCTCTCAGGTGCACGTCTGATTGTGCGGTCGAGCGCTAATGTCGAGGATTTGGCCGGGATGTCGGCTGCAGGGCTTTACGAGTCAATCCCTAATGTAAGCCCTTCGAACCCTTTGATCTTCTCGAGGGCCGTGTGCCAAGTTTGGGCTTCTCTTTACACGAGACGAGCCGTTCTGAGCCGTAGAGCCGCCGGTTTGCGTCAAAAAGAAGCCACGATGGCCATTCTGGTTCAAGAAATGCTTTCCCCCGAGCTCTCATTCGTTCTGCACACCGTGAGCCCGTCAGAACCCGAGAGCGACATCGTCGAAGCCGAAATTGCCCCTGGCTCGGGCGAGACCTTAGCTTCGGGCACTAGAGGAACACCATGGAGAATCTCCTCGGGGAAATTCAATGGGACCGTGCGTACGCTCGCGTTCGGGAATTTCAGCGAGGAGCTTCGGGTGTCGGGAACTGGTCTGGCCGACGGACAGTTGATGCGCTTGACGGTAGACTACAGCAAGAAGCCATTGACGGTGGATGCAGTGTTCAGACAGCAACTCGGACAGCGACTCGGTGCTGTCGGGTTTTACCTCGAACGAAAGTTTGGGTGTGCACAGGATGTTGAAGGATGCGTAGTCGGTACCGACATTTACATTGTTCAGTCTCGACCGCAGCCTCTGTAAGGAACCAAAGCTTAGTTGGTACGGAGATGTGCATTTAATCCGAATTATTATGATATTTTTATAATCGAAATAAATATAAAAAATAGTAATTTTTTTTAGAAAATAAATTTTTATGATTAGAAAGTAGAAATTGAATCTAAATTAAATGCCATATGATAATTGATTTTTTAAAACTTACGAAATCGAACCGAATAAAACGCCCCCTCACCCTTACTCTTATGTTTCAAGTTTGTCCTTTTTGTAACACAAGCAATCAATAATTAATTAATTGGATAAAAAAAATAAAAAAAATAATTAATTAATTGGAATATTTGAAAATTATTTGGTTATTTTTAATTAATTATTGACGGACACCCATACACACGCATGTATGTGTATGTAGATGCGTGTGCCTATTTATGTCATTCGCTCTCCCACCTCTCCGCTCTCGTCGTCTCTCATCAAAGCGGATTTCCCGGGTCCCTTGTTTCAGGTGCTCTTGTCTCAGATCTTACTCTCTTTGCTTCTTTCACATTTTTGTCGCTTTACTTGTCTGAAAGTTGCTAGCAGATCTCAGAACTTGTCTTTCGGACATTGATTCGGTTCGTGTCTCTCGTTTCATCGTTTTCTCATATTCTGTACGTTTCGAATCCTCGATTCCTGCATTATTTTTCTAGGTTCTGTTTCCGTTCCTAATGGTTTGGTTTAGATCTTGTACATTGTTTCTTCAATCAGTTTCCCTCTGTTTCTGTTTTCGCATTTGTTTCGTGTTTTAACCAGATCGAGTGAGTTTATGAACTGGTGGTGATAATCGGACAAGTTGTGTACGAAATCGATTCAATTGTTGTTTCCTCTTCCGCCAGATCTGATTGTTTGTTCAGATCCGCGCCTAGATCTCCTGGAATTCAACTTTTTTCTGCCATTTGAGCTTTGATTTTCATTTGTTTTTTTATGATCACTGTTACGTGGTGGGTGGATCTACATGAATTGTTCCGCATTGGACTCTTACCATTACTTGATTGCTGTCCACAGGTAATATTTGAACGTGGTTTAACTTGTCGCCATGGGAACCGTTGTCGATGCTGCAATCAAGGTAATGTCTAAAAACTTCAATGGACGATCCCTTCATTCTATAAATCCGCGTAAGTGATTTTTGCCGTCTTGAGGCTAATGTGTGTGTGTCTAGCTGTATATACGTGGAATAGTCAATCATAGAGTAGAAGAATGTTTACGCACAATGCATTTCAGGTGGTGTTCTGAATGATTATATGATAAAAACTTACCCATAAAAGGAAGAGTTTTTAACCAGAAAACGTATCATGTAATGTAGTAAAGCAGTGCTCCACTTCCAATGTTTTCCGTTCTTGACAAATATATTCACTCCGACATGAAGTTATTTTGGGTGTGTTTCGTCAGGAGGCAAATGGAAGTGCAACTGAGAAGAAACCTTCAGTTGTGTTTGTCCTGGGTAAGGAGTTCTATCCTTGAAGCCTCTTCTTTCTGTGCCTTTTTATTTTTCCTGAATGTTATTTTTCAGTTTTCCTATTATGGTTCTTCTTATGTGATGTTGTCATTAGTGGTTTGCTCTTCTGAGCATGCTTCTTCAAATGACTGAGCAGGTGGCCCGGGCAGTGGAAAGGGTACCCAGTGTGCCAATATTGTCGAACATTTTGGGTATACGCATCTGAGTGCTGGAGACCTTCTTAGAGCCGAAATCAAATCGGGTTCTGAAAATGGGTATGGCCCCAACCATGAAGTGCTTAACACTGAAGCATTGCTGTTTTCTAGCACATAGAACTTTGGTTGGCAAAAGCATTAAGATTTAGCTTCATGCTTTGTCCCTTGTGTCTTTTGACATGTGAAGTGTTTGTTTCTGTTGCTTCGATAACCTCGCCTCTGTGTACTTTCGCCTGTCTTAATATTATTTTCTGGCATTTTGGGGTTTTGTATGGTTTTACAGAACCATGATCCAGAATATGATTAAAGAGGGAAAGATTGTGCCTTCTGAGGTTACAATTAAGCTTCTTCAGAAAGCAATGCAAGAAAATGGGAACGAAAAATTCCTTATTGATGGCTTCCCTCGTAATGAGGAGAATCGAGCAGCTTTTGAAAATGTCGTAAGTATCTAAACATTGTCAGCCTTTTTATCAAGTCCTTTTCTGTTTTTCGGTTAGTAATGAGCCTATGATGTCAATTCTTGACTGCCTGAGTGATGATGGTTCTCTCTGCAGACAAAGATTGAGCCGAAGTTTGTCTTATTTTTTGATTGTTCTGAAGAAGAGATGGAGAGGCGTCTGTTGAATAGAAACCAGGTTAACATGACATGTCTGATCACTGATGACATTTGTGTAGGCTTCTTTCCGATAACAAGTTTTAAATATATCGATTTGCTGACTCTTTTTTTTTACTTAACCTCTGTTAATGAAGGGAAGAGATGATGACAACATTGAGACTATAAGGAAGAGATTTAAGGTTTTTCTGGAATCTAGCCTGCCGGTGGTGAAGTACTATGAAGCTAAGGGGAAAGTTCAGAAGGTGGAGATTTTGATTTTATCTTTAGGTTCATTACGTTCGGTTCTAGCATTTGAAATTCTGTAATAAACATTTTGTTACGTTTTTTTTTTTCAGATTGATGCTGGGAAGCCTGTGGAAGAGGTGTTTGAAGCGGTTAAGGCCATCTTTGCTCCTGAGCACGACAAGGTAAAATCGTCTGGCTGTGCTCCAATTCAATTTTTTGATATGTGCTTAGACATTTGATCGAGTCTCTGATTGATTTGTACAACTGCTTTTGAGACAAAGATTTAGATGGCTTTCGCCGAAAAGAGGCAGGCCATCAATGTTCTTCCCTTTCACTGAGCAAACCAATCTCATGTCGAAATTGAGCTGGAAAGGATGAGTTGTTTGGCAAAGCATAACTCAATTCACAAACTTTGTGTCTGAATGCTTTCAGGTTGCAGCAGCATAAGAACCAGAAGCAGACGGATCAAAGGAAGATTTATCGTATCGGTCAGGTAAAATTTACCGTTCGAATCCACCGGTAAAATAAGCTTATGAGTTTAACTTGGCGTTTAGATTTACGGTGATGGAAAAGGAGCGGAAGGTGATGATCGTATTTACCATTACAAATTTTATGGTAACGGCCAAGGAAGCTGATGTTCTGTTTCTTTTGCAGGTGTCGGTGTGCTTCTTTTCTTACCATTTTTTGTTTGTTTGGTGTTTTTATAAAAATAACCATAATTGCTATACCATATATTCTATATTATTATACCAAAAATTATACTACCAGTCATCACCCCCTAATAAGAGCCCAAGTAACTGTTTGTTATTCTTAAAAATTTTAAATTTTTGGTATGCGGTGGGACCATGATTTGGTGTGCCTGTCTGTAATTTCACATCGGACAAAACACGAATCTACTGTAGATTAATGTCTCCATCGTATCTCTGACCGCGCTTCCGGTCCGGTTCGTACTTCGGCCCATTCGGCCGAAAGGATTAAAAGCCCATGGAACCTAATTATAATCATAATCGAGCTTATTAAGAGTCCAAAGGATGCAATAAAGGCCCGTGACTCAATTGTCTGAACAACCAAATCTGTTGCCTGAGAAAATCCTGTCTTTTGTGATAAAAGTCTGTACCTTTTGTTTTCGTCGTGCCGCATTACACAAAAGCCCAATAACATTACGATCCATGCTACTGCTACATATATAAGATCTACCAGATCTCTCCTCATTTTAGCCGAAGCCTGAAAACGCCAATGAGAAAGACAATACCTTCTTTAGGGGGTAGCTCCCTAAACTGAAGCACCCTCTCTCTCTCTCTATGTACTTGTCTCCGTCTCGGACAGCAGGATGAGATCCATCCACTGATTGGCTGTTAGAAACCAGAAGAACAGGACAGGAACAGGACAGAACAGAGTCGAGAGAGAGTTATAACTAATAGTCTTTACTGCCAGGACAGTCCGCAGCTCTGTGGCCTGACCGCCCGCATATGAAGCAAGGACCTCCGAGACTCCTGTTGCAAAAAAACATGTTCTTCAGTCTCTGCTTCTTTGCACAAGTTGGAATGGTGAAAACCCCCAAAAGAAAACTTACCTGTCCCGTGAAGAAAAAGAAGAAGAAGAAGAAGAAGAGGATCTGCTTGATCTTCTGCCGCCGCTAATCAACCAATCATCACGGCTGCTCTCCCTTGAAAGACGAGACCAGTTGTTTCTACCTCTCTCCCTCTCATTGTTCGAATCTCGGCCTCCACCCCAACCTCTTGACCCCCTTCCAGACTGCAATCCCCTAGAACTTCCTCCCCTAGAACCTCCCCGAGGCATCCGGTCTCTGCCAGAAAACCGCCCATAGAAATCGCTGGCCGGTCCATCATCTTGCAGAGGAGGCAACTGTACACACCCAAATATGCAAATCCATTAGTCAAAAGGAAATAATAATCTCTCCCATCCCATACAGAGAAATCAGTTACCAACCTTAGTAATCTTGGAAATAGAGTTTCCTGGAGGCAGTTCTTTATCTAGGAGCTCTTTCGCAATATCCTCTGGAAGATCAAAAACAGCTCCCTGTACCTGATGATATCATCAACATAACCCATGTCTTGTCTTCCCGTCGAAAAACAGAGTGAATACAACAAGTATTGCTAAATATCAAATCGTTTCATAGAAAACTGACCCTGTCATCCGCAATCATTAAGATTTTTCCAACTTCATCCGCAGCTGCGGTGTATACATCAGATAGGAAACCGGTAACAGATCTCACAGACAAATAGCCTCTTGAATTTGATGCATCTCGCGTCAATTGCAATGTCACCCATCCCTGCACTCCAATAACCAGTGTCAAGATTCTTTTTTTTTTTTTTGTGGGTAAAATTTATTCAAAAAGAAATAAAAAGAAAATCGATGGTGGGTTCTTTTTCCTGTCGTGATCGAACATTTAACCTGCTCGTGACTGATGAGAGATCTTGATGAAGGAGGCTGAGCGAAACCGCTGAGTTGTGCTAAAGCTGCAGCCAAAGCACTTGTTCCTTTCTCTTCAAATAGTCTCTGAGCAGTTGCAGAGAAAAACTCGATGGACTCAGGGTGAACTCCATTCAAAGTGGCAACCACTTGTTCTGCTGAGGCTTCCAAGACCTCTCCGACTGACGGTGGGCTAATAAACTCGAATTTGCTGCCAACGTCATGCTCCAGAGATCTCACCGTTCTCCTTTGGTTGCTCGTGAACATCAGAATTGCAGTTCCTTCTTTCCCCGCACGTCCAGTACGACCAGACCGATGCACAAATGTCTCTGGGTCATTCGGAAGTTCGTAGTGGATAACCTGTTGTAGTGTAGAGGAAAATTTCGAAATGAGCACACTGTCATCATGCCCCAAAAAACAGGGAATAATACGATCTGAAGACTTACTAGATCAACGTTCGGGATGTCAAGTCCACGAGAGGCAACATCAGTGGCAACTAAAACTGTAAATTTCCCTTGTCGGAAACCATTGAGTGTTCTTTCCCTCTGATGTTGGGATATGTCTCCATGCAATGCTTCAGAAGCTATGCTGTTTGACAAGGCGAGCGAGACCTCGTCAGCATCTTTTTTCGTTTGCGTGAAAACGATCGTCTTCCCACCTTTTGCATACACCTTTATAAAAAATCGAAAAACCAAAATGATCAATTAGAACTAAAAAAAAACAAATTGATCTTCAACTCTTTTTTTTTTGCAAAACCGTACAGTTATGAGGTCACTTAGGATGGTGCGCTTTGAGGTTGATGTGGCTGGGATGGCAAAAAGTTTAATCCCCTCAGCGAGCTTTTCATCTTGGTCTCCAACCTGTCAGTTCACCAAGACACACCATTAGATAATATTTAAGTTTCTGTATCTATCAGAAAACGAATAGCAAGAACTTCTAACCAGATCGATATTCAAGGGATTGTCCAAGTATTTCCTCGCCAATTTCTTGATCCAAGCAGGCATAGTTGCCGAGAAAAGCATGCTCTGTCTCTTCGACGGAAGATTTTCAAGAATGCACTCCACGTCCTCCTCAAACCCGACGGCAAGCATCTGATCAGCTTCATCAAGCACCAAATACTCAACTTCTCCCAGTTTCAGACTCTTGCCTTCAATCAAGTCGATGATTCGACCAGGAGTCCCGACTACAACATCGACACCACGAGAAAGAGCGCTCTGCTGGGTATTGTAGGAAACACCTCCATAAACACACACAGTGCTCAAATAGGGGGCGGACTCTTTAATCTCCTTCTCTACTTGCTTAGCCAGTTCACGAGTAGGTGCAAGGACCAGAACTTTCGGGAGGCGGCCTGATCTCCTGTCCAAGCAAAAACAAAATGAAACAGATAAGCTCCATGGAAGGCAAGAGGCAAGCAACAGGGGCAAGCAAAAGCAATCGGGGCGGGCAAGAGAAGAAAGACCTGAAAGAAGATTGATCCACGGCATCTTCAGTCAGGCGCTTGATGATAGGAATACCGAAAGCTAAGGTCTTCCCAGTTCCAGTTTTGGCACGAGCTATGATGTCTCGGCCTTCTAAAGCTGGATGAAGAACAGCCCTCTACGACAAACAGGCACCATGTCAATCCATGGAACAGAAGTACCAAACCGAACATACAAAATCCATATCTGTCTAGACAAGCTACAATGCCTCAGCTTTATATTGCAAGAACAGTTCGAAACAACTTTCCAGTCGAACTCCACCGGAGAGATTGGCATGAGAAGGAAAAATACAGCTTAAAGTTCGAGTCGAACGAATTCCGTACGAAGGAACAGGACACATACCTGAATAGGGAAGAGGTGAGTTATACCGCGCTTCTCAAGAGAATCAGCAAGGCGCTCAGGCAAACCAAGCTGAGAGACAGCGAGCTCGTCGGAGCTAGTGCCGGAATCGTCGTCGACGTCGAGGCCATTCTCGTCGTGGTCGTGGTCGTCGTCGGAGAGACCAAGGCCCTTGAAAGCCTCCTCGCTGAACACGGAATTGGGAGTAGCTACGGCCGAAGGAATAAGAGAAGAGGAAGATGACGATGAGAATGAGAGGCTAGCGCATGTCCTCCGGAGAGACAAGGGACCGAAGAAAGGCCTGACCAGAGAGAACACTAAGCAGGAAGGTGTCTTCTTCGGCTTGGGGTCGGAGGTTTCGGGGTAAGGAACTTGGTAAAGAGAAGGAACTCCAATGGCCGACGCCATTTTTTCCGATAATCGCCGGCGAAGGAGGACGGAAGATAAGGTGAGCGCGTCGATGTTAAGAACAGTTATGCAACCCTCCACGCTTCACTCCTCTGCTCCGCCCTATCTTTTTATTTCTCCAAATAAATGTTCTGTTTTTAAAAACTCAGATGGGCCGGCCCATTAATCTTTCGGCCCATTATCATATTCTTCGCAATTTTTGCTTCTTTCGAAACTCCTCTATTTTATTTTAAATAATATACGGAAGAAGAAAATGGATGAATTGAAGCATTTTTTGTCATTTTAATTTAGGTTCATCGTAATGAAATTGTATAATTAATTAAAATGGTAATTCGAGGCAGAATAAAAAAAAGAAATTTAGACGTACCAAGTACCAACCAAAGAATAAAATCATGAATACGTCGGGTAGGACTTTGGCGGGGAGGGGAAATGATTAATTTACAAATAAATTAAAATGATAAAAGAAAAAGGCAGGCTGGATCCCGAATCATAAAATTATACTCTGATTTTTTTTTTTCTCAATTTCTTCTTCCTTCTTGACGGCGCTTCTGCTTTTTTGTTATTCCACTGATCCTCTGCCAAAGTTTCTTCCTTTCCGAGCAAGAACACGAAACGGATTCAACCCTCGATCAGGGTTTCAGCCAGAAGTTTCTCTGCGTGAAGAATGTGTCATGGGTTTCTCGATTCCGATTGATCCCGTCCGTTAATTCTTCAGATTTTGATTCTTCTCGCGCGTTCGAGGCAATGCACGTCCTTGTCGTCAATTGCGTTTGATTGGTTCTCTCGCAGATCGTGTCCGAATCTGGGGTTTCCGTCATTTGTGGTCATCTTCCCCTTTTTCTGCTTCGGTTTGTGCAATCGATCGGCTTCTTCTAGATTCTGTACTTGAATAAGCTGATAGTTTATCAAGGTTTCATATCCCAATTCATCGCAAAAATTTGGGTTCCGTTTCTGGTTTCTCCTGCTCCGATTTGGTTTTAGCATTGGCCTTCAGCCTCTTGGCACTTTCCGGAGAATCAAGAGGCTTTTTTTTTCCAGATCCTTCTCATCTCCTGTACAGGTTTGTGTCGGTAGCTCCTTTTGGTATTTGTTTGCTTTAGAGTTTGATGAACTTTCACAATGTAGACGTTTTTTATGGCTGTTTTCTTTCCATTTTTGCAGAATTAAGGGATATGGTACTCATTTACCTCAAAGTCTTGGCGTTTCTATGCACTGTCGGAGCTATCGGTTTGGCACTGCTCCATATTTACAGGCACCTCTTGAATTACACAGAACCGACTTATCAGAGATTTGTTGTGCGCATCATCTTCATGGTCCCGGTCGGTGTTACTATCACCTAAATCTCTTCAGTCTGGCTTCATGCTATCTTTCTTCTCGCAATGTTGAATTCTTCTCCTTACCATGTTCTTGATTTTCTTCCAATTGGCAGGTCTATGCCTTGATGTCTTTCTTGTCTCTTGTGCTGCCCAGAAGCTCAATATACTTCAATTCCATCCGAGAAGTGTGAGTATTGCTGACATTCCGAACTCTGCCAGTTAAGCATGAGATATGCTCGGCCTAGCAACTAAAACTGGATTCTCATTGATACTTGAGTGGAGATAATAAGCTTTTAAAGTAATGTGTCTTTCTGTTTCCTGCTTTTAAATAGTTCTGAGAGCTTGTCTTGAGAGTATTCTATTTGAAATTTTGAACCCAGTGAGTCATTTTATTGTGTATGATTGCAGGCCTGATCGTGTAGTCTGTAGAGTTTTTCCTTTAGAGGATTTGATAATCTTATCACGTCTGTTCTTTTCTTGTTTCAGTTATGAAGCATGGGTCATTTATAATTTCCTGTCATTGTGTTTGGCATGGGTTGGAGGCCCAGGAGCAGTTGTCTTAAGTTTAAGCAGCCGGTCGCTGAAGCCATCATGGTGTCTCATGACGTGTTGCTTCCCACCACTACCATTGGACGGGTTAGTTTGCAGAATGAAATCACATTATCCGTCGGGCGTTTCATCTGTGTTAAGAAAGCTATTACCATTTTGTATTATCTTGAAACAAATATGCCCAGCTGCCTTCCAACCTGTTCAAGAATGGCGATATATATATATATGTAGATGTCCTGGATATTTCCGTTGCAGCCTTCACTTTACCGTATTATTTTTTATGCAAGCCCATAGAATATTTTTTAACTTGTTTAGATTCTTGACAGCCATGCTGACAATCTTAAATCTTTACAGATGAAAGTTTGCCACTGGGGCAATTGTTTGGTTGTTGACATAAGCCATGTGTTTTATAGAGACATTATGTATATTTTGGTCCAGATGTTTTGATCTTCGTAATGATTTCCATTTTGATATGGTATTTGAAATCTCAGATGACTGCCATGGCTCTAAGCTCATATGTCATGATGTTGTTTTGATGCAGGCGTTTTATTCGACGGTGCAAGCAAGGTTGTCTGCAGTTTGTAATTTTAAAACCAATCCTTGTTGCCGTCACACTTGTACTTTATGCAAAAGGGAAATACAAGGATGGGAATTTTAACCCTGACCAAGCTTATCTCTACATTACCATCATCTATACTGTGTCATATACCGTGGCTTTGTACGCACTGGTGTTATTCTACGTGGCCTGCAAAGACCTGCTTCAGCCCTTTAATCCAGTCCCGAAATTTGTGATAATAAAGTCCGTTGTCTTTCTGACCTATTGGCAGGTAAAGTCTGTTCATTCTTTCAAGCTTATCTCTATATTACCATCAGCTATTCTCCACATATTCCTTGTATCTCATGAGCCTCTATCTTTTACAGGGCGTCCTAGTTTTTCTTGCCGCTAAATCTGGATTGATAAGGAATGAAGAGGAAGCAGCCCTCTTCCAGAATGTTATAATATGTGTCGAGATGCTAATTGCTGCCTTGGCTCATTTCTATGCATTTCCATATAAGGAGTATGCGGGTGCCAATGTCGGTGGGGCACGCGATTTCACGGGAAGCCTGACACATGCTGTAAAACTAAATGACTTCTACCATGATACTGTTCACCAGGTAACTAACTATTAAGTAATGCTTTATGAAGCCTCTTTTTTTTTTCAGATCATGACACTGTTCTTCTTGTGGCCTGATGATGGATTGTCATTCTTACAGTTTGCCCCTACTTACCATGATTATGTGCTGTACAATCATAACGACGGTGATGAGGGGACAAGGAAGTACAGGTCACGAACTTTTGTGCCGACTGGCCAGGAGATGGATGCTGTGAGAAAACAGAAAGATATTTATGGAAACAAGGTAGACGGTGTTTCGCTCTCCAGCCACTCATCTTCAGGAACAATCACTCCAAAAATTCCTAGCACGAATTCTGATCCAGCATGCCCTGATGCCATGAACTCTTCCTTGCTCATCGATGCCTCGGACTCACTTGCCACAATGTATGACATGTCACTCATTGATATTGATATACCAAGTTACCCAAGCGAGGTCCCCCCTGCAAATGAAAGTGGGACTAGGTAGAAGGGGGAGGAAAACGTGTAAAAAAACACCATAAACAGGTAGGGATGTGTTCTAGCTATCGATACTTGGGTTCTGAAGGAGAGCCACTGCCTATGAGTCGCCGGCTCATTCTTCAACAGGCACGCGTTTTGCCACTTTCTTTGAACCCCACTGGTTGCTCCATGTAATTTTCTCCCTTCCGGTCGAGCACTTTGTTCCTTACTTTCCAGTCTTTTTCTGAAGTTCCTGATAGATTACTCTACTAGAGAAGATACGGAATGGTCAGATTCTGAATGTGATCTGGTTTGCTCTTAGCTGGAAGATTTTTTGTAGGAGATAGGAGATAAGTGAACCCCCCCTTTTCTAAAGACCAGTTCGTGTAGATGTAAAGCATTGTTGTTTATGAGGATGAGCCCTCCCCTGTTTCTAGGTACCTCCTTTGTTAGATACAAAGAATAAAAGAGCAGTCTAAACCCTGGATGCTAGCACGTTCTTTATAGGGTGTACCCTTGTTAGAGCAGGAATATTCTTCATCTTCCATATCCTTCTGGATGGCGAGCAATCAATCCCCCTCTTTCATGGTGTCTTTTGTGTTCTTGGTGTTGCTCTCTGGTGGTCTGAGTGCAGGCGAAGAAATTGAGACAACTAAGACATCAAGGCAAAGGGGGCAGAGGAATATGTTCTGTTGTTGCTTGTTTGGTTTTGTTTTTAAACAAAAATGGGTGTTTACTTACTTCCCGAATGCAATGTGTTTTGTTTTGGAGATGTGTTGTGTTTCAAATGTTTTGTCGCAGTTGAACTCTCTATATGTCATACGATGTCCTGAGGGCTAAGATTGGCATATATATATGTATGTATGGCCATCACTCTTTACAAATACATACCATCTGTATACAGCAATTCCACGTCACTTACCTAACCTCGGTGAACCCACACGGAGAGTATAGGCCGGTCTGATATTCTTCTCGTAATGGGTATGATGAGGAGCTTAAAAAATGCCCCTTTCTTTACCATATGTTGTCATTCATGATTTTCTTGGATGGGATTGCTTCGTGTGTCCTGATTGGCCCACCCAATCATTTTTTTCTAAAAAAAATCATAATCATATGCATAAATAAGCGTGTGGGTGGGACTTTGTTATGGCCAAATTGTCCTGCATTCGTTGGGAAAATGTTAAAATCATAGTCTTATCTTACCATTATATATATTGATTCTGTAGATATAATGACACATATGGGAGAGAGAGAGAGAGAGAGAGAGGCCAATGGAAACACAAAGCGTAAGGGAAACGATACGACTAATAAAAGAGAAGCACTTGACCCGAGAGAGATTTGACAAAAGTTACGTCAAAGAGAAGAAGAAGGAAGGGTTAACGTCGGCATCATGCGACGGCGGCGGCTGCGCAATATTTAGGGCTTCCCACAAGTCACCGCTCTTAAACGAAAGCAACACTCACCGGAATCATCCTTCATCTTCATCCCACCCTCTCTCTCTCTCTCCCCCATCCCCAGAAGCTCAATCATCGTCTTGCAGATCCCGATGGGGACGATGGACGAGAAAGCTCCGTTCGGGAGCAGCAGCTGCTACTCTTGCGGCTATGGAGAGTACATGGAGAAGAGACGGCTGTTCCTGAGGAGCTACCATTTCTCCAGGAAACGCAGCTTGTCCGAGAGGATCCAGAGATCTGTAATTAGGGCTAAGAAAGTTGTCTGGATGCGTCTGAAGTCTGCTCGGAGGCTTCGACGCGTCGTCTGCTCTCGTCTCCGGTCGGCTTTCTCCCATCGCCGGCGCCGTTTCTTCTTCCGTCTCCGACATGAGCCCTCCTACTGCTTCTAAACCCTCTTCTCCTGTTCCAATCTCCCGTAAACCTTGTGTAGACATTTTTGCTGAATCCGAATGTTGCTTAGATTCTCAGTGTTCATCTGCTTTACTTGTGATTTTCTTTTCCTCTGATTCAGATTCTATATACTGTTGGATTATTATATGTTAATCACGCTCTCAACAAGAATACCATCATCATCATCATCATCATCATATAAAAACATGATTAGGGCTTTGTGATTACGATAGTTTTGCTTTTAATTTGCCCGAGTTTTCATTTGGGGTGAGAAAATGAGAAATTGGTCAAAAAGGGGTGTCACGCAAGAAACACGTGAACGTAACACGAACCAGTTCAGGTTCGGACCACATGCGAATCGGTGGTTTTGAAAATATAATATCAAAACGAATATTTTTATTTTCAAAATTTAAAATTTATATGCCATTTCTCAGATAAGATTTCGCTTTGATTTGCTTCGAAGTTGCTGTAATTCGAGAGAACCAGAATCAAATTTGTACTATTGGGCTCATGTGGGCTAATGGTTTTACCTATAATGGGCCTAGTCCATTTGTGAGTTAAGCTCTCTATGGGCATTTATTGGGCCTGCATGATCTCTTTTTATACTCTCTGGTGGGCCTTTACATTAGTCATGATTCGATCTTAATTGAATGGGCAACCTCCAATGGGCCTTTTATAGATATATATGGCTCTATATATATATTGGTAGAAGGTGTTTTTTTTTAATATATTCGCATTGTTACGTTATGTAAATTACTATTTAATAATTCATTTTAATTTTTTATAAAGAATTTCACAGAAATGTATCCACCGGTGGAACATTTTGGAACATATGTTTTATTTGCAAGTATATTCAAACGGCTGGTTCTAAATAAAAATATATACTCCCGTGAGTTATTTTATTTATATTTGAAGTTTTAAAACATATCTATTTGACACCGTCATCATCGTTCGGTGTACATAATATTATTTCGTTCATTTTTGTCATATATACATTGACGTTTTGGATAATATTAAATTGAAACGATCCTTTGATTTCACGTAGAAAACATTGTGTATTCAAAGAACACAGAAAGTTCCGGAGACATGCTTTGTAGTTTTTGTAATCTGAATATACAAGGTTTAACAATGTCGGTTGATAATTGAACGCCACTCAAAACCATCTCGTGGTCTAACAAAAAAAAAATATTATGTTTATTATTAGCGTAGGGCCTCAATTATTTCAGCCCCACATGCGCGTTTCTAATGTCAAACGGAGCTTTTAGTCTTCGATACAAAATTACAAACTCACAAATGATACATATATATATATATATGGTTTCATATTTCATATAATTCTCGTCCATTTCAATATCATATTTCTTGTAGCCTATATTTAAAAGTGATTACGATAGATGTATTTTGGAATGACGCATTCTATTGATCAACTATCAAAGAATCGTCCATGTCCTCTAATTGCTTACGCAATTTCGAAGTCACGTTTCCAAATATCAAGCTAGACTTGTCCGGATCATCATCCGCATGCTTCCAATAAGCATCAATTATCGATCTAGAAGTCGTGGTAAGAGGTTTATCCTTCATAAGGACAGATCGCATCGTC